AATAATAATAATATAAAATGATGGAAAAATTTTCAAATTTGAGTTTTGTCTTGTTTTTTGTTTTTACAGATAACAGAAATTGACTCTGTTCTTGGTCTTGTATGAAGTAGCCATTAGCTCATCAGTCAGGTGAAAATCACACTTCATTTCCCAAACTTACAAGCTTTATCTACAACAGGTAAAATATTATCTGTTCATAACCTCACCACARAATCCAAAATCCAAAAGATTTGAACTTGTCTCTTAAGTGCTCATTTCTGTCATAAAGTTAGAGCAACATTTTCATAATAAAAATGGAGCTGATTTTACTGACTGAAATCTTAAGTTGGTGCAACAGAAAAAAATTGCAATCTAGGCAGAATATTAGAAAGAAAATCATGTTTGAATTGTTCTAAAATCATCTAACAGTTGTGAGAAAACGGTCTTGTAAATGAGAAAAACTGTTGATTTGCTTAAAAATGTATTCATGTGATATACTCAAAAGTATTTCATTTAGGCCCTTTAAATATTTGCCAATAAAAACTGTTTTAAAAAAATGTATCCATGTATGTTGTTTTTGTAAGCCCAAAATGTTCCTTTATTTTGAAATTTCCCAGTTTGTCGGCTTATTTTATTATAGATTTACTAAATATGATGAAAAAAACGTTATCTTTTAAACTTATAAATAAGTTAAATAAAACAGAAATATTACAAAACCTATTCAAACAAATGGTCTGTCCTTCCACTTGCCTGGATGGTGCCTTGAATTGACTTTTTCTCCATGGACCCTCTGCGGTGGGGATTTATCTCCACAGCTGCTGGCGTCCCATCAACAACGTCCGGCTCTCTGGTTTCTGAGTCTTTCTGCTTCTCTCCATTCATACTCTCTGTCCTTTGCATCAATTCATCCATAAACAGCCCATTCTCCACTCCTCCGTTGTTTATATATGGCATTTTTGAGGAAACACTGTGGACAAACAAAGTTATTTAATGCTAAAATATGTCGTGGCAGAACTATTTTTACAAAAAAAAAAATCTCAAAGGTTCAAAGACAGACTGAATCCACCTTGTGTGGTTTTTCATTTAACCTATCAAGGTAAATAATTTCTTTGCCGATTTAAAGACATCAAACGGAGGGGTAATCTAGAGATGGTTGCACTCATGCTGTTTGTCAACTGTCTTTTATTTTGTGTCTTTAACCTCTTTACATGTTTATGTTAATATGAGGGACAGGGACATCCCCAAAGAAGTGCAACAAGGCAGAATTTTAGCAAAAAATTGGTGGATGTGACACTGATTAATTTTTAGATGCAAAGCCAATTGACTTTTGAAAGCACAAAAACAGCCACAATTTAACTAGTTTTACTAATATTGAGCTAMAACTTGGCGTGGGTACAGCTGAGAGTCATTTCAGTGCTACACAATATGTTAGCAAAATAACTCATGAACCACAAGAAGCTCTTTAGTTATCAGTGGATGTTCCATACTTCTTCAACTCAAATCAAGATGGCTGCCACAGCTCCTTAATAATATCCATCCACCATTTTTCTTTATCCACTGTTTTGTTCAGGGTCTGGCAGCTGCTGTCCATCTCCAGCAGTCACTGTGCAAGAGGTATGGTACAACCTGGACAGGCCTTGAGTCCTTCACAGGGACACTTGGAGACACATGACCATTTATGATTAGTGGTAAGTTTTTAATTAACTAATGCATGTTTTTTGAGTGTGGGAAGGAGAAAGAGATAACCCACACTGTTTGGTTGGTGCGGAGGAATGAACCCAATTCCAGATGGAGAATTAAAGTTTCAAAAATAAGAATGTTTATTAATAAAAATAAAACAAAAGGCTGACGAGGCAGCAACTAACAAAAACTCTAAGGGATAACAAGGAAACGATGGGAAACCAAAACAGTTGATATGAAATCAAACAATGAACCAGTGAGGATATGGAGGACAAGACCAGTATTTAAACAGACAGAGGGAGAGGGAAAATTACAAAACAGCTAGAGGGAGAACCGATTAGGGATTGAAGACAGGTGAGGATGGTTACTGAGAATGACCTAGAAACAAGCTGAGAGGTGGGGGGTACGAAAACACAAAGACAGGATGGAGGGCACGAGAAAAAAGACAACGAAGGGAAACACAAAAACAAAATGACACAGAAAACAAAACCAAAAACCGGCAGGAAAATGCTGGGAAAAACACAAAACAACAAAAATAGTCACTAAGATGGCCCTAGGCACATCTGGAGGGCAGAAAGTTCTGGTGGGTGCCCAGGAACCCAGCACAGGCGAAGTAGGGGCTCAGGCGGGCGACCATAGACTCGGCCGCAGTGGAGGCGGAGCTCTGGAGGGCGGCCATGGATCCGACAGCGTTGGAGGCGTAGCTCTGGTGGACGGCCTGCAGCTCGGCCACGACGGAGATGGAGCTCTGAAGACTCGGCAGGGGCCGGCTCTGAAGACTCGGCAGGGGCCGGCTCTGAAGACTCGGCAGGGGCCGGCTCTGAAGACTCGGCAGGGGCCGGCTCTGAAGACTCTGCAGGGACCTCCCATTTCCGTAAAATCACTTCCTGACATCCTTCCAACCATTCACAGCCTAGTCGTGCCTTACCGACAACCGTCCAGGAGGAAAAACAACTCTCTGTTCGACTTCTCGCTACCACCAATGCGTTGTTTCCAAACATTAACAAATGTCCTTTCTAATTCGTCTTTGTTTCCACATAAGAAGCCGACATGTTGACTAAAGGAAAATCCCAGTGAGAATATGGAGGACAAGACCAACAGACAGAGGGAGAGGGAAAATTACAAACAGCTGGAGGGAGAACCGATTAGGGATTGAAGACAGGTGAGGATGGTTACTGAGAATGACCTAGAAACAAGCTGAGAACTGAAAGGTGGTGACACAGGGAAGACACAGAACAACAAAAACACACATGCAAAGGCAGAACATGCAAACTCCAAGCAGAAAGGTCAGGAATCAAACCTGTGACCTTTTTCCTGTGAGGTGGCAGCTCTAACCATTCCTCTTCACTGACATCAGTGTAGCGCTGGGCTATTAAACAATAACGATATACCGTGATAGACACATGATCAATATAGAAATACGTCTGACAGGCTGCTGATAATTTCACTGACTTCTGATTCAGAACTGCAAGGCATTCTGGGGGATGTAGGCAGAGGAAAGGCTTTATGTGCTTGACCTCTCACAGTCCAGCTAAGCAAGGTCGGTGGCATCAACTACTGTAACACACTCACTCTTCAGTAAGCTGACATCACCGCCATCATAACTGCTTCAAAATAAAAAAGAACGATGTCAAGGTGTGAAAGGAGAAAACAAGTGCAATACCTCGAGATGAAATTGTGGATAAAAGAGGAAAAGTCGATTTTTCTCCTGGTCCTTATTTCGAGTAGGCAAAACGAAAAACGAATCAATAATTACTGATATATCTGAAACATTTATATTTTTCAGCCACATGGTCCAGCCCTACATCAGCCAACACAAAAACTGCTTTAGCTTTACCATTATTGAGCTACATTTTCATGTGGTAATAAAKCTTATTTTGTTGCTTGAGGTGAAACACAACATTCTGTTTCATGGTTTAATGAAAACAGCTAAGGCTGTCATTTTTTTAACATAAGATGATCTGAGTTAAAGACTCCTGCATGAAAGGCGGCAGGCAATATGCATATCTTTAGGAAATACTAACCCTTTATTTTAATCTGAACTGAAGAGGAGAGGACAAATTAAAGTTGAGAAGGGCTGTGCTGTTCTTAATTCATAATGTGAGCTGTCGAATTAGAAAACAAAGTATATAAAATGGTGATTACCTCACTCATTTGTTGCAGTTCTATTAAAGCTTCTGCATCTGGTGAGCCTTGTGTTTTTGGAAGCAAGGGCATGCTGCCAAACACCTTGGTTGAATATTTTATTTCCTGAAGCACCCATGTATGTCCTGGTAAATGTAGTTTTTGTTTCTGTTCCTGTTTGTGCATTTTGAGCCTTCTCCTTTCTTTTGTTGCATGCTGCTTTTTGTATAATGGGGATGAGGAACTAATATGAATAGAAAATTTGATGCTTCATTAGTTTAACGTCTTTTCTACAAAGTGGCATTTTGCAAATACCAACGCCATCAACTGAACTGGACTGTGAAGGAATTGTAATTATTTTTCCATGGTGCGCCCAGAGATTGCTTTTTGTTGTGACTCACTGCTGCATGAATAAGTACATGTAATGAAAAGAATCAGGGCTGTGGTGTTCAACCCGAAAGGGAAATATAAAATAAGGTGTGATTGTCACAGGTTGAATTTTTGTTCTATTAGTAACAAACAGGAAGTCGTTTTCCTTGTTTCATGAAGRGCATCCACAAACACAGCATCAAGGTTTAGTTTATCAGATAATTTACAACTGAATGACTAAATGTAACCTGTAATGTACTTTACACCACTTGTGAATGATTACTTGTGGAAGCCTCCAGACAAATTGACAGACTGTACTTGGTGATTTGTGAYGGAGCCAAAACCTCTGGCAGGTAAAAGATGTTACTGAGCACCTGAGGGCCCTGGTTACCTTTTAATACAAGCTGATACAAAAAGGAAGCWGAGCCTCAACAATGAATGTTTAATTTCTTGTTAATAAATTAAGTTCTGATGACGCTTTTGTGCAAAAACGTTAAAAACAAGAAGCTCATGCATTGTGCATGAATTGACTAAACCATCAGGAATCCTTGACCTAAACAAGAAGACGTATTAAAAATGGTTGCCTGACTTATTTTGTTTTGTTCTGTCCCCCTTCAACAATGCAAATTATATTTCCCTTCAAAACAATAACTTGAAAAGCACCTCTGTGCTGTCACCGGGACAGAGAAATGCAGAAAAGCAAAACAGAAACACAACAACAACAAAAGAGAGAAGAACAAAACAGAAGTGTCTGATAGGAAGAGACAACCTGTTCCACAGTTCAGGGGGAAAAGAGGAAATCATTCTTTTAAATCTACAGTGCATGTTAACATAGTTAACGAGTGATTGTCTTTGTTGGTGGTGATTCTGACCGAAGAAACACCGAGATGTTAAAACCGGACACCCACAGTTTCACATGCTTTCAGCTCTGGTTACTGAAATGTGCAGGATGTCGAGTTTTTAACTCGAGCTTTAAATTACAGAGAATTTATCCCATTTCTCAGGAGGCCGATGAGTCTCAGTGGACCACATCATCATTCTTTCCTTTTCATTGTTGTATAAAGTACCTCAAAGTGATACTTGAGTAAAAGTACAAGTATCTTATCATAAAAATACTTTGGTAAAAGTTAAAGTCTTCTCTAAAAATATTACCCTTGTAATATTTTTATAATTTTTTTGGTTTTGTAATCTTGACTTTTACTTGAGTAAAAGTACAAGTATCTTATCAGAAAAATACTTTGGTAAAAGTTAAAGTCTTCTCTAAAAATATTACCCTTG